TTTTAGTCTTTAATTCAATTTATTAGGTATTTTTATTTAAATTTTCAAATTTAGTTAATTATTTTGGTTATTTCATAAAAATACAAAAATACTTTATTTTTTTCATTCAAATTCAAAAATTACAAAATATTCCTTTCTCTTTTAATTCAAAAATACAAAGGGACAACTTTCCTCCTTGAGAAGAGCGACGCTCCCCGGCCCCAAAGAAGAATAAAGTAGCTGCAACCTCTTCCAGACCGAGGACTCTGCCGAAGAGCCCATGTCGGCGACGAAACCACCTGGATTCAGCCTCCCTTCGTCGTTGCCTGTCCAGAGCGACGAAGACACCCGATGCTCTCCACTGTGCAGAGCCATAAGGGAAACGCGGTTGCCCCCCGGGATGGAAAAGCCCCCAATTTTGGCAACCTACGATGGAACGAATGACCCATACGACCACATCGAAAGCATAGAAATGATGCTGGACTACAAAAACGTCCAGAGAGCTATCAAGTGCAGACTGTTCCCCACTACCTTGAGGAAAGGGGCCATGGCGTGGTACAAACGTCTTGCACCCGACTCCATCGCCTCATGGGGAAAACTGAAGCGCCAGTTCTCTAGGCACTTCATAGCATCCCGACGCCATCCGAAGACAATGGCGATCCTGGAGGCCATCTTTCAGGGGAAGAACGAGCTCCTTAGAGACTACATAGAGAGGTTCAATCACGAGGCCGTCCAAGTGTCCACGACATACTACATGAAGAAGTTCCTGATCCAGAGGGGGATCAGGCCGCACTCCGACTTCACAAAAGGCGTCGGCCTCGCACGCCCTCCTCCACATGGCTCAATCACACATCGAGTATGAGAAGATAGAGGCTGCGAACACCGCCCGGGCCGGGCGCAACCACGAGGCCCCCAAAAGCATGAGGCGTGGGGATACCTGACCTGCCCCTTCTCGACGAAACGAGCAAAAAAGGCGTGAAGACCGCCCCGGGGAGCAAAGGGGCCCAACATGCCGGTTTATCGAGCACACGCTACTCACAGCTATCCGCGAGCGCATCCTGACCGAGTGTATCAATTCAGAGTTCCAGCGGGGAGGTGTTCGGTTTCCAAAACCAACAATCCTAAAGCCCAACGCGGACAAGTCTAAATACTTCCGGTTCCACCGGAGCCACAGACGCGTGACAGAAGATTGCATTCACTTAAAGGATGTAATCGAGATTTTAATCAAAGAGAGGCATCTGAAATAGTACACCTGGAGAGGAGAAGCCCCCCATCTTGAGACCAGCGAGGCAAAGAAGGTCGAAGATGCGTCAATTCCATCCAACAAAGTAGGACTGCAAGTGGCCCCATGCGTCTCTCGACCATAAGACTTCACTTTCAGCGAGCCCGTCAGACCATTGACCACCCTCAGCCCGTGGGAGGACTTCTCGGCCACAATGGTGATATCGGGTGCGGGACCCAGTCAGTTATCGGTCGGGTTCGTCAAGCAAAAATTCGAGGAGCTCATCGGCAAGAGCTCGAAGATGAACGCTACCCTCGACCGATTAAAATGGCAGTCGAACCCTCATCACCTTTTATCTCGAGGAGCTTCCCGGAGGGGCACCCAACACCAGCATTCCCCTTCTGATCAGAGCGCAGATGGTGAATTTCGACGTCCACCGAATCCTTTTCGACCAAGGAAGTTCAGTGGACATCATGTACGCCCACCTATTCACCACCTTGCAGCTGAACGAAAGTCACCTGACCCCGTATGTAGGCTCTAACCTCTAGGGCTTCAACGACACGACCACCAAGCCTTAGGGATATGTGGATCTACTCGTCACCTTCGAGGCAGAGGGCGTGTCGTCACCCTCCTCGGAGACATCGAAGCAGCTAGAAGATGCTTCGAGGCGACACTCAAAAGACTTAGCTCCATCAACTTCGCCCTCAAACCAGCCAACCGACCAGCTCGAACGGAGGAACCGAAGCCCCTCCCAAACGTCAACTCTATCGACCTCGACAGTCATTCCTCCGACAAGTAGGGACAAGACAAAGACCCCGAGGACACACCTCTAGAGGACAACAGGCACCTCCCCCATCCAACACGCCCCATCCCAGACGGAGACTTCGAGCTCATCATGCTAGGAGACAACCCCGAAAGAGGCGTGAAGATCGGCAAGGGCCTGCCCGACCTAGCGAGGAAACAACTCAAAGCCTGCCTCTGGGAGAACGCAAACCTCTTTGTGTGGAGCACTACTAAGATGCCGGGGCTCCAGTCCGACGTAGCATGCCACCACCTTTCCATAAATCCAGCCGCTATGGCCATAGTTCAACGTAGTCGCAGGCAGTCCCCCGAGAAAGCAGAGGCTGCTGAAAAAGCTGTAAAAGACCTCCTAGAGACAAATTTTGTTTCGGAAGCCCGGTACATAACCTGGCTGTCCAATGTTGTACTTGTTAAAAAATATAATGGAAAATGGAGAATGTGTGTTGATTACACTGATCTCATCTCGGCGTGTCCCAAGGACGCTTACCCGTTGCCTAACATCGACAAACTCGTCGACAATTCTACAGGTTTCAAGCTCCTGCTGTTCATAGACGCATACTCGGGATACAATCAAATCCCCATGGCAAAGTCCGACAAGCAGCATACGACCTTCATGACCGAGTCGGGCAACTACTACTACAACATAATGTCGTTCAGCCTGAAGAACGTCGGGGCGACCTATCAAAGGATGATGAACAAAGTCTTTCAAAGCGAAACCGACGACATGCTCGAAGTCTACATGGACGACATGATCATGAAATCGCGAGACGAGGTCGACCATACCGCTCACCTCTGGAAAGTCTTCGAAACGGCGAGGAAGTGTAGGATGCGGTTCAACCCCGACAAATGCACCTTCGGTGTGTGAGCAGGCAAGTTCCTCAGCTTCTACCTAATGGAGCGAGGAATAGAAGCCAACCCGGACAAGTTCCGAGTCTTCTCTGAGTTCACCACTCCGAACACAAAGAGGTCCATCCAGTCACTAAAATGAATGACGTCTAAAAGGTAAAGTGCATAATTTTTGTTTCTTTTCATTTTCTAAGTTTTTAAGTTTGACCCTTAAACATAGTTTTATTTATTTATTTTTAAATTATCAATCTCTTTAAAATTGGTGAATCAACGTCATTTGCATGTGTGACATATATACATTAATCGAAGTCTATTTGCATCAATCGTTTTTAAGTGACATGTAAAAATGAAGGTAATTTTTCTTTGTAAAAGGCAAAGTGCATAAAAAGATTTTAGTTTCTAAGCTTTAAGTTTTGTTGAGTATAACAAGTGTGAGTAGTATGTGTAATAGTTTCATATTGGCCATAAATATGAAGACTTGAGCATTTATAAGTGAGAAAATTCACACAACTGTCACCTTAAAATTTTGAATGAATATGTGATGTGTCTCTCACAAATGTGCGACTCTAAAAAAGAAAGTCTCATAATATTAAATACTCTCTATTAAATTTTAAGTTTAATCTTTTGACAACGTTATATCTTTTATTTTTTTAACAATGAGTTGGTTAAGAATTGGTGAATAAACCATAGATATATGATCATCAAATTTTAGCCCCATCAATCATTTTTAATAGACATATGAAAATGAAATTAGCGTTTGTTATGTAAAATAGAATTGCAGAAAATTTTCAAGTTTTTAAGTTTTAAGTTTGACCTTTAAACACATTTTTTTAAACTATATGATTCTATTGAAAATTGGTGAATCAACGTCATTTATATTTTAAAGAAATTTTGAATTTCTAAGTTTGATCCCTAGACAATTTTATTTGTTTTTAGGATGAGTCTGTTAAAAATTGATCAGTCAAGATCATTTGCATGCTTGACAGATATACAATCATCAAATTTTAGCCACATTAATTGTTTTTAAGTGACATGTGAAAAATGAGATTGGTGTTTGCATGGTAAAAGATAAAATGCAGAAAAAAGTTTTCAGATTTCTAAGTTTTCAATTTGACTGTTATACATAGTTTAATATTTTAATATCTTTTTTAACTATGACTTTATTGAAAATTGACGAATCAATATAGTAATCAAATTTAACCACATTAATTATTTTTGAGAAATTTTAAATTTGATAAGATATTAAAGATTAGTACCAAAATTTTAATATTTAAAAAAAAAAGCTAGTGATAATGTAGAGATAACTTTGATAGAATATTAATTTAGAAGTAGTAGTGGTTAGAGATATGTACGGTGCATATGTAAGAATGATTTATGAAATGGTATTGAAAAGATGAAGAAAAAGTTTGGTTTGCACATGAAAAATGAAAGTGAATTGAGTTTTGTTTCCACTTCCACTCTAAAGTCACTAAGGACAAAGATTGGGTTTTCTTGATATAGCAAAAGCTAAACCTCAAAGGGACCATCTTTTAGAGAACTTCACAACATGCACTCAAACTCTCACTTCCATCTTCTCTCATCAACAACAACAAGATTTAAGAAAGACAAACCAACTTGCTTCTTCTTTGCTCTTGTTGCTTTCCACCATCAACACAAACTTCCACTTTTTCTTTTTTTAGGAGTGTGAAATCAATTCTTCATGTCTGTCTCCCTCACTCACTCACTCTCTCATCAATTCTAGGCTCTTGTGTTTCTGTGGCCCCTACTTTCCTCCCACTTGCTTCTCTTCCTTTCCTCTCTTCCTTACCTTCTCTCCCATTTTTGTCACTTTTTCTTTCTTCCATATATAGCTTCTCATTCTTCTTGTTTTCATGCTTCCTAAAAGCTTCATTCTATTTCTATGTTATGTTTTCTTATGTCTGCTGATTAGGATACTTGTTTCACTTCAACCACTTTCTAAACTTTCTTCTTTATAGCTTTTTTTATATGGTTTTCTATTTGATTTCTTTGTTTTCGTTTCTGGGTTTAGGAGTTTTTTTGCTGAATTTGTTCTTGTTGGTTTGAGACTTAGATTCATTCATGCTTGGTCTAACAATACTATGGAGAGGTTTTCACTTCTTTAACATTCAGTATTTCAATAAGGTGAAAAGTTATGAAGAACATTCTTAAGAAGCTTCATATAATGTCTAATAATCAATCAGAAGAGGCACAGGGTGAAAGGAGTGGTAAAGTCAATGATGCTTCATCTTCGTCTCCTACTACGCGAAAGAAGCTTTCTAATTGGTTGCAGTCAGTTTCTTCTACTAATAGGCAGAGTCCATGCAGTCCTCCGTCTCCGAATTTGGCTAGAGGGGAGAGAGTGGAGCTGTCTGATTCTGTGAGTTTGGATATGGTTTGTGAATCGGGGAAGCGTGATTCGGAGTCTAGCAGTTCAAGGGATCCTGAAGTGGAGGAGGAATATCAGATTCAGCTTGCTTTAGAGCTGAGTGCAAAGGAGGATCCTGAGGCTGTGCAGATTGAAGCTGTTAAGCAGATCAGTTTGGGATCTTGTGACCCTGATAATACACCAGCCGAAGTTGTCGCCTACCGATACTGGGTAAGTACTTTTATTATTAGTCCATTGACTACAAGTTACAAAGTTGAATGAAATCACATTCTTGTGTTTTTGTGAAGTCCTATACAATCTGCAATGTTGTTCATGAATGCTAAGTGATTTAGAGTTGACAAGAAATCAATGTCAATATTGTAAGATTAGAACTTTGTGATGAATAAGCTGTAGTCATGAAGTTAGATCAAATTGAGGACAATACAATAGTAAGAAATAGCAAGGGACAGTCTGCCAATCCTAATTCAACTGGCAAAAGCCGATACCGTTAGGTTGGACATCATCACCTGAGTTACTCAAGGTTGTGTGTGTGAGTTTCTAGTGGTTATTACCACTTCGTCTAAAAAGAATAGGGGAAATCCTTTTGCACCAACCTTACCTCGTGCAAAAGGATTCTGTTATTATGTTTTACACCAAAGGTTCGTGAAAGATTTCACGTCTGCTTTGAGAAAATAACATGTATCATATGTTTAAAAATGAATCTCAACTGTTCATCTTTGAATTAGTCAGAAAACATATTTTAACTTCTAAACTTCAATTGTTTGGTCATACATATTGTTAGATTATGATGTGGCTACTTTGTTCTAGTTTGTGGTACTTAATATTATTTTTCTAACTTATCTCATATCGTAGACTTATACATGCTTCACAGAATTACAATGCTCTTGGTTATGATGACAAGATCTCAGATGGTTTCTATGATCTGTACGGTGTCTTAAACGAGTCAACCTCGACAAGAATGCCTTCTCTTATAGATCTGCAAGGAACGCCAACCGTAAATGATGTAAAATGGGAAGCAGTCTTGGTCAATAGAGTTGCCGATTCCAATTTGTTGAAACTTGAGCAAAAGGCCGTGGAGCTTGCAATGAAGTCAAGAGAAGATTTTGAAATAGTTGTAGATAGAAACTTGGTGCACAAGCTTGCAATACTAGTGGCTGAATATATGGGTGGATCAGTTGAAGATCCTGAAAGCATGTTAAGAGCATGGAGGAGTCTTAGTTTCAGTCTAAAAGCGACTCTCGGTAGCATGGTTTTGCCTCTTGGTTCGCTGACCATGGGATTGGCTCGGCATCGCGCATTGCTATTTAAGGTACTTGACTTACCCTGTCATTTTCTTTTCTTAAACAATGTCAAGGGAATTAGCGACACAACCGCTATATTAATTGTCTATAGGTATTAGCCGATAGTTTGGGCATCCCTTGTCGGTTGGTGAAAGGAATGCAATATACCGGTTCTGATGATGTGGCAATGAACTTTGTTAAGATTGACGAAGGAAGGTAAGTCTGTTAAATTTCTGTTTTGGTGTTAGACATAACTATTCTATGTATGACGAAAAAATTCGTTATTTTGTATCTATAAGTTATGATATATCTGAATTTCAGGGAGTACATTGTTGACCTCATGGCAGCTCCTGGAACTCTTATTCCATCTGATGCAGCTGGTTCGCATATTGAGTACGATGATTCTTCTTTCGTTGCTAGTCCTTCATCAAGAGACCATGATTCGTCTCGCGTTGCATCGTTTAGCAGTGGGGTTGGAAGTTCATCCGGAGAAACTTCGGAGTTTGGGACTTTTGAAAAAGGAAACAGGTACAAGCATTTTGCCTATGCAGGGAAGGAATCTGATACTGGCAAGGAAGAAGTAAAGAAACCGTTAAATGAATTCAAAAATATGCCGAATGTAGAAAAGATCAAGGCGAGGGAATCTGTTAGTAGGCCTAATAATTATCCGTACACGCACGGGAGATCTCCGTCTTGGACAGAAGGGATCAGTTCCCCTGCAGCACATAGAATGAAAGTCAAAGATGTTTCTCAATATATGATTGACGCTGCGAAGGAGAACCCTAACTTGGCTCAAAAGCTTCACGATGTTTTACTTGAAAGCGGCGTTGTTGCTCCTCCGAACTTGTTTTCTGAAATTTATCATGACCAGATAGGTTCTCAAAATGAGGCCAATCCAAATGAGGACAATGCTCCAACTGAAGAAAAAGATGAATATAAACACGGAAGTGCGCTGAAAGAAGCCAAGGTTGGCGATAATCTAGCTCCTCCTCGATTTTTGCCTCCGTTGCCTCCACACAGAACTCATCCCAAAGCAAGTCCTAGCAATCAGACCGAGCATCCTAAGTCTGTAGAAGGTTTGGGGACCGGCCTTTCGCTTGATACAAAGGAAGCTGCTGGACAGCAGATACAATCCGATACAGAAGCAGCACAAGTAAAGTACGGGAAAAACGTCCCGGTTGCTGCTGCTGCAGCGGCTGCGGCGGCTGTCGTCGCTTCTTCTATGGTTGCTGCTGTGGCAAAGTCAAGCACTGACTCAAACTTTGAGATTCCTGTAGCGGCAGCTGCTACTGCTACTGCTGCGGCTGTTGTAGCTACCACTGCTGCTGTCAATAAACAGTATGAGCAGGGGAGTCGAAGTGACGGAGATACAGGTAGTGGCGATGGAGAGAATAATGCTTTAGGCGCAAACTCAGAAGGCGAGCGAAAATCTGATACATCAGTAAGTAATGATAGCACAAAATCAGATTCTGCGCTAGAAGATGTTGCCGAGTATGATATTCCATGGGAGGAAATCTCGATGGGTGAGCGTATCGGAATTGGTATGAACTTTCCATTTCTGTAAGATTTGCATACATTATTATGTTAGCCGGTGATGCTACTTCGTAGTTTGTATAGGAACATTTGTTTTCTATTGGACTTTCTGTAGAAAAAATAATTGCAACCTGCGTTGTATGTTTGGTGTGCAGGATCGTATGGAGAAGTGTATCGTGGTGAATGGCATGGAACTGTGAGTTTCTTTACTTCATACATTAATTGTGATATTTATCATCTTTCATATTATGCAGTAAATAATCGATTTCTACATTTTGATTTGTAGGAAGTTGCTGTAAAGAGGTTTTTACTTCAAGATATCTCTGGAGAATCACTTGAAGAATTCAAAAGTGAGGTATAAGCCACCTCTCAACTTTTGCAATGTCTACTTATTTATACTAGTAATTGATTATTTCATTGATGTGTATGATAGAAGTGCTTATTTAGTTATTCTTGCTGTGTATGATAGAAGTGCTTATTTTAATTATGATATAAACTATAATAGGTCCAAATAATGAGAAGATTGAGGCATCCGAATGTTGTTCTCTTCATGGGAGCTATAACTCGGCCTCCAAATCTTTCGATTGTTACTGAATTTCTTCCGAGGTAACTTACAATCCTTCGTTGCAGATTTGCAGTTTTTCTGGAAAGCAATATTTGCTAGCACTAAACTATACTTAACTGTGTATTTACTGATATAGATATTCATGTTTTGCAGAGGGAGTTTGTATAGATTACTTCATCGACCTAACAGTCAATTAGACGAGCGAAGGCGATTGAGGATGGCCCTGGACGCTGTATGGATTTTGTTGTCTTTAAATTCAATCAATGAAGCTTCTTCCGTCACCAAATCATTGCTATAATAATAACTAGCTAATCTATTTTGATTCTTCAGGCGCGAGGAATGAACTATTTGCACAACAGCACGCCAGTGATAGTCCATCGGGACTTAAAGTCCCCGAACCTTCTTGTCGACAAAAACTGGGTTGTAAAGGTGCTCATTGAATCGAATCTTGTGACAAATTAGTCTTCCTTGATAATATACGCATGGTGATCATGTGATTCTTATGTTTTTTTACTGTTGAACAGGTATGTGATTTTGGCTTATCCCGAATGAAGTATAGTACGTTCCTTTCTTCGAGATCAACGGCGGGAACAGTAAGCTATCGTAATTTTTATTTCCTTCTATTGTTTGCATTTATGTTAGATAACTAGCTTCCAACTCGTCATTGCAACCGAATATATTAGTTAATGGTTATGTATAATATTTTTTCAGGCCGAGTGGATGGCTCCAGAAGTGTTGAGAAATGAACTTTCAGATGAAAAGTAAGCTTCGTATTTCTTTCTCGGTATTTGTTGTTATATTACAATAACATGAATGAATGAATGAATGAATGATGAACTGATTGTGTGATTCGTTTTCCTTTCTAATAGGTGTGATGTTTTTAGCTATGGAGTCATATTATGGGAACTATGTACTTTGAGGCAACCTTGGGGAGGAATGAATCCAATGCAAGTTGTTGGTGCTGTTGGTTTCCAGCATCGTCGTCTTGACATTCCAGACAACGTTGACCCTGCGGTTGCAAATATTATTCGACAGTGTTGGCAGACGTAAGTGTATTCCGTTTTCATATTTTTTTAATTCTTCATGTATTTCTTTCTAGTCTATGATAAAATGTGACTTGATATGCAATTTTTTTGTATTATAGAGATCCAAAATTGCGACCTACTTTTGCTGAAATCATGGCGTTGCTGAAGCCGTTGCAAAAGCCAATTACTGCGTCTCAAGTGCATAGAGCAAATGCTCACACACCGTCATCGCGAGTTCCTGAAGATCCTGAAGCATAGTAGACGATTATACAGCTAACGAAACGTTTTCATCTTACTGCTAAAAAAAGGCGAAGGCAATTTGTAAATTATTTTCCATTACTGATAGGTTCAAAACCGTATCAGCTAAGGTTCATTCTTGTTCAAGGTTTTTGTGCCTGTCTTTTTTTCCTTTTTCTCTATCTGTTTCCTTTCTCTTCTGTAATCTACAACGCAGGCAGCCATTGTCAGGTTGTTCCTTTCTGTTTGTACAAAATTCTTTGGCAAAAAAAGTTGTAATCAGAATCTAAATTTTGTTGTCCATATATAGTTATTAAAAGTTGCAGTTGTAACTTCAACAGAAGAAAGGATTAAATGTAAGTGAAAAATGCTTGCTTCTGTATCTAGTGATCATGTAAATTCAGCAAGTGTGTTTTGTACTGGAAGTTCTCTGATTTGCATATTGTTGAAGGAAGAATCTTCTTTTTTTCAGTTTCACGAGCATCTGATGTATCTGGTCTATATTTTAGACCAAATACATTGGTTAGTCGATGAATATGAAAATGAAATATTTACTTATAGTAGTGACTAAAGGGAGTATTATGTGCGGAGAGAATGTAACACTGATGACACAAAAATGAATGACAAACATCAAATCCTAACATTACTTGTAGAAATATATTTAGATTTCTTAAGTATTTGAGCCTCTTATTATTCACGTTTGTAGCATGAACGGTGTTGAGAGTCTCATAATGAATAATATGTAGCCTGAACATATATTTACATGTTTATAAGCAAGGACAATATCATCTTACAATTTTAAAATGGTATCAGAGTTTGGTTCAAAGTCCGTTGGATAATTTCTTATCTGCGTTAGACTCAACCACAATTTTAAGAAATAGAAATGCGCCTGAGTGAGAGGTTAATGAGAATGAAAAGAGGAAAACTTTGACATGTGCAATAAAAGGCTATGATGGAATCAATGCTCGGATGCCCTCAAAGTAAGGATAAGGTGGGGACTAGCCCTTCATTGCAGCCAACAACTTGTAAGATATCTTTTTTTGCCCTTTTGTATCTAAACCAACCTATTATCATTATTATCCTAAACATGGCTACTATCTTTGGTTCCCCACCAATTTCCTCACTCCCCCTTACCAGAACCACTCATCTCATCGCATCTTCATCACAAACGCCTCCACCACAACAACCTCAGCCCTCAGGTTCATCCTCTTCACAACCACCAACAAATTTGAATGAAGATCAGACAGTGCAAATCTCTATCAATTCACAGCAACAGAGGCCTATTAAACCAGTAGTGTCTTCAACTAAGGTTGATTCCACGGATTGGATCGCCACTTCCTTGACTAGAAGGTTCGGCCTTGGAGCTGGTCTTGCATGGGTTGGTTTTCTTGCTTTTGGTGTTGTCTCAGAACAAATCAAAACTCGCCTCGAGGTTTCTCAGCAAGAGGCTAATACAAGGTCTCTCTCACTCTTCCAAATTTTATTACTAAAAGATTCTGTTAATGATGACTAATATTATCGTTGTTTTCGTAGGAATGTCGAGGAGTCAGAAGAGGTGATTCTGCCTAATGGCATAAGGTAAGAAGAAGCTTTGAATGTAATATACAACTGTGTATGCACATGTCTTATTTTTGTGGTACATTACGCGATTTCTACAGGTACTATGATCTGAAGATTGGCGGAGGAGACACGCCCAGGCGAGGCGATTTGGTTGTGATTGATATAATGGGAAAAGTTGAAAGCACAGGAGAAGTGTTTGTGAACACATTTGAAGGGGAGAAGAAAGCATTGGCACTAGTAATGGGGTCAAGGCCATATAGTAAAGGAGTGTGTGAAGGGATAGAATATGTGCTGAAAAGTATGAAGGCAGGTGGGAAGAGGAAGGTGATTGTGCCACCTGAGTTGGGATTTAGAGAGAATGGTGCTGATTTAGGTTCTGGTGTGGAAATTCCTCCACTTGCAACACTTGAATATATTGTTCAAGTTGATAAAGTTTCCATTGCACCAGCTTGATGATTTTGGTTAAATGTAACAGGGTGCTTTGGATTTGTCCTATGATAAATGTTCATTTTTTATGTTACCATTATTTTCTACGGAGTGAAAATATATTATGAAACACAGACACATACACGAACATCAAACATGACACAAACAGTGACACGTTGATATCGATAATAATTTTTAAAAATGGATAAATTAAATGTAATTATAATATCAATGTTGTGTTGGTGTTGGTGTTCGACTCTGACATGAATACAAACACACATTTTTTCAGAGATTATGTATATATTGTGTTGAGGTTACTTGCTTGATACACTTGAAATTTTACATATTGTATGATATGTTCAAAATGTTTAGGATGACTTGTGCATGTGAAATTTTAGTTGACATTCAAATGATTTTGGAAAGAAAAGTAGTCAATTTTAGGCATTGAAAAAGGAAGATTCAATTTTCGTGGGACAATGTTGAAGATAAGAAATATTGATTTGGTCTACTTAGATTTTTTTACCATTGTACCACAGTTTGAAATAATATATACCAAAATGTCACAAGTTGAAAAAAAAAACCATCAGAATACTATTATTTTAATATGGATTTGGCCAATGATTAAACGACCTTTTGAAAAAAATTTGGCTAATGCATAAGTTCGGCTGATGGTTGGCCAAACCATTCAACAAATTTTTTGTTTTTTTGTTTTATTAATGTTTCAAAATATAAAAAATTTGTTTAATATATAGTATTATATATAATTTATTATGGTCAATTATTTTAATATTTATTTATTAATATTTTAAAACATAAAAATAATTTTTAATTTTTAAAAATTAATTAAATATATTAAAATAGAATAAAAATATATAAATATGTTTTAAAACATAAAATAAAATTTAAAAAAAAAACTCTTCATAAGCTCGGTCAACCATTGGTCGAGCTAAAGCATGTCCGAAAAATACTTTAAAGAATTGTTCAACTATTGGTTGAACCCTAAATAAAATAGTGGCACCCTAGTCCTTAATTTTCAGATAGTGGTATTTTAGTACTTTAAATCGTCTAGTTATCTTTTTAATTTTATGTAAATAATTGTGCAAATAAAACTAATGAATTATCAACATATGAACTGAAAAATTTGATCATTAATTACTTCATTCAAGAGTGAGTTTTAGAGGACAACGAAATGTAAGATAAAATATAAAAATTTTATTTTGAATATATTATCTTCCCGTGTCAAATAGTCTAATGATTAGTAGTGAAACTCACCAATTAAATATTATGGATCCGAACTTTAACTTATAAAAAATTATTGCATCTTTTTATCATATGAGATGGAATTATAAAACAATAGAATTGATTTCTATATGTACCCATGGTATGAAATGATTTTTATCATAAATCCAATTAGACTTCACCGGTTAAATATTGAAGAATTTCTTAATGCAACATAGATAAGATAGTCTTTATTCATACCCTAAAATTTTTTAAATATTTATAGTGTTCGGAGATGAATTTTTGTAAGGAGGTATTTTTAAATAATCGTTAAAATATTTTAAAAATATATCTCCAAAATAATTTTAGACATTCAATTCAACCCACTTAAAGGCTATTTAAATTTGAATGGTTTCGGAGATACATCTCCGTGAATATTTCGGAGATATATCTTTGAAACGTATCAAGTATTTTGTATTGTATGTTATGTATTAGTGTTCAAATGAAGTATAACGCACAATTCAAAATTAAACAATAGACGTACAAAATAATAAGAGACTAATACCGTGTGTGTCGAAAATAAAATAACAATAAATGTAGAAAGTGTCGTACAATCGAGATCCAAAATGTAGTAAGACCCTTAAAATAAAGTAAAGAGAATAGTACTTTAACAAAATAATAAGAGAATATTATTGAGTGTGTCTGACAACATCTCCTCTACCTTCTCTATCTGCTCTACCTCCTCGATCATCAATCTCTTATCCTCCAGCGACGTCTCTGGTACAACAATGTCCCTTGTGCCTCTGTCATGATGGCATCTATGGCTCACCTGACACCAGACCCATCATGAAAAATACTCTTGTCAATGTCTGTCTGTACAATCTTCATTATGCGATGACACATAGGCAAGACATCATCAATATGATCTAGCCGAGCCTTTTCCTTCTCTAGTATCTCTTAATGAGCTAGTCTCAGTCGATCTCCTAGAGCAGCATGCACCATGTACGGATGTGACACCCTGAAGAACCATCTGATGCACCCGTCGACGTAGCTCTAGTCGCTCAGAACTGTGGTAGCCCTTGCCTCCTCCGGTATCAGATGACTCTCATAATCATCAAACATCTCCTCTATTTGTCTACGTGTCAAGGCAGGAGGAGCAGAGACAATAAGGTGTTTGGAAATGGTCTGGGTGTAGCCGAACTTCCGCATGACGCGCTCGGGCAAATGAGGAGAAGTAAGACGCGATTAGCGGACCAACCATCCAGAGTATAGAACTATCTTGTCAAATGGCCGCGTCTGACAGTGATCCACACAATTGTTGAAGTGCATGTCCTCAGCGACCAAACGGTTAAGATAGACTCTGAAAGGCTCTACCTCCTGGTTCTCTCTAAGCGGGACAAAAGCACAGACACGTGGCATATCCTCAGTGTACTCAGGCATACTAGCCCAACCAGCGATACGCAGGAAGTGCTAGAGGATCCAAGCCTAAAATAAAAAAATTTGGAGCACACGAATCATAATGGTTTTGCAAATATGAAATGAAAATGACAAAAAAAAATAATATTCAAGGATCAAGAATTATTACAACTAGTAATGTCACGTTGCCTCTGACCTGCTTCTTCTTCCACATACAACTCTCTCTCCAATTCAAATACAAATACACCAGGCAAGCCGCCCCCCAGTTATACTCATGAATCTGAGTGAGGTCTAAGAAGTATTGTAGGTAGGAAACATCAATATAAGTGGCACTCTTGTCTACAAAAATGAAAGTGCCAGCAAAAAAAAAGTATGCTCTCAAAGCATGTGTCCTGTGTACCACCACCTGCTCATCATCACCATGAGCCCGTTGTGGCTTTAGGATCTCAGCCTTGTAGAGCTTCCCCAAGAACTCAAATCTATCATGAGCACGCATGGTCTTATCCACCTCCTTTATCACATCCCCTGGATCAGCCCCCAGATGCTCTACCATCATCTCAACTGTCACGTCTTTGGTTATCCTCCCATGATCAAGGAATCTCCCCCTAATCGGAAGATGCAATAAATATGAGACATCGTCTAGTGTGATAGACATATCGCCATGCAGGAGATGAAACAAAGATGTCTCAGAGTGTCATCTCTCCACGAATGCATTAAGCATCCCGTAGTTGACTAGAGTGTAACCGGTTATGCATAGGTCCTTCAGACCAGATAAGGATAGAAACGTCTGAAACTAATCCTCATTCGGCTGAGGCAAGCCAAAAATCTTCCTCTCATGGTAAAGAAACTTATAGGGATCACACTCCTGAAATTGTCATAAATAATCAATGTCAGGAATAACCAATGTCAGAAATTATAAATGTCAGCAATTAAAATTATCGCATAAAAAAATAAAAAATAAAATTAATGCTACCTCTCCATCCCAGATATGACTGGAAATATGGTCTAGATACAAAGGAAGTAAGGACAAATCAAATGGACCTCCTCCAAAATCCTCTGGCTTGGCATATACAGTAGCCTCACCCTCCGGAGGTGGCATTGGATCAACAACATCATCAATGGGAGGTGGGTATGGAACAACAACATCATTTATAGGAGGTGACACTGGTGAATCCTGACGCCTGCGAGAGGATGGGGGAAGTGACACGTCATATGGTGAATCTTGTCTTCCAAAAGTAGACGATGCCCCAGAAGTCAACGACTCTGCCTGACTAGAGGTGTGTGGAGCCCCCCGGAACCTGTTGGCCCCGCTTCTGCCTTGCGGCATATATCACAACAGTTTGTTGTATCAAAATTACATTTAACTAAATATGAAATGTGTTGAAGAACTTAATTTAAGGAATGTCACGTATAGCCTTGCTGATGTTGCTTTGTGAACTCATAAACCCCTTCATGCTGGTCACCTGATCCATTCTTCCTCTTTGAGGTTTGGTCCTGTATTGTTCAAGAATTTCGATCATAAATCATATAACAATTTAAATCATATGTTGGTTTATGAATTGAAATTAGATTGCATTTAAAATTAGGAAGCAGTAACACATTTTTTAACGTAAGGGAACTTGATAAATTCACATCTCCCATATTTTCAACTAAGGTTGAAATCCCTGTTGGTGTAGTTATGTAGAAATGTTTATCTAGTTTTCTGATTTTCTTCAATATTGAGGTCAAAAAATGTTGGTGTAAGCCCTAGAGGCCAATACTTTTTGGTACTTGTATCGGATTATTCGTTTAATAATAAAAGGCATTTCTTTATTATGTTTGTCTTTCAGAATAATAAAGTCCCTAGAATAGTTAGTTTGTTTAATGAAATGTTAAGTGTGACTTAATCATGAGATCCCATTAAACATAAAGACATTATTCTTAAAATATCCGTAGTCAAGCTTTATTGCAAAGTGGGATAACATTAAAAGCATTGAGACTATTATGAAGATAGACTGATGATCACATCTCATGGATCATGGATAAAGAGTTATCAAGTCTTGACATATGTATAAATATTAGGAGTAATATTTATACCGGATTGACCCGCTATGAGAATACTACATAGTATGTTATGCAAAGTGTCATAAGTTATTCTCATGGTGATAATGGTGTATTACCACCCTTCGACCTGAAACCACTATGGACCCTAGATGTAGAGTCGGATGCTTTATTGCTGATCAAACATTATCCGTAACTGGATGATCATAAAGACAGTTGATGGGCACTCCACGAAGCATGCTGAGGGACATGAGTGTCCTAGATGGAATTTGCCAATCCTGCATAACAGGAGAAATGTCTAAGGGCCCAATATTGAACTAGACAAGGATGACACAGTGTATGCCTTGTGTTCA